GTTCTTGAACACTCATACAAGAGATTTGATCTCTTCAAACTCTAACAAACAAGTTTTCAAGTGTTGGAAATCATCCCAAGGGTGTGGATACCTCAAGAGTATGTTGACTCTTTCAACACATTGGCTGTGATCATCTAACCATCTTCAGATTCTGAATCTAAGGATTCAAAAGTTAGTTTTCTGTTCTTGGAATTCTTCATCGAAACCGGTTGGTCCGTAGGCGATTCAAAATCGTTTTGAACGTCATTTCCGCCGCGTAAGTCTGCAGACCAGATCCAAGCATGGTTGTCAACCGGTTTGCGAGGATCCCACGTGATCCAACAGACACCCTAGGAGATCATTCGATCTTTGGTAGGGCATCTATTCATGTTGATGATCCATGATGTGAAGGCGTGTTTCGGGACGTGGGACTTGAACCAAATGATAGAAGAGAAAGGGTCCTGATTTTCCAATTTACTGAAGGTGACCCAGACTTGTTTTGCGATAAAAGTTGTAGTCAGTAGCTCAGATAGTTGCTAGAGATAAGTGTCTAGTCCCGAGATCAACCGCAGTTCGGTCAGTTGCGCAACAACAGCCAGAGCAGCATCAGACCGATGGGTGGAGATGCATTAGGTGTCATGTGCATTAGCTTGAAAAAGCCCACGAATGCAGAGAAATGCCCAGATGTGTCGGGCCTGTTAGACCTAGAAACCGAATCAGAGGTCCTAATGGCATCCACGGATCAAACCAGAACCATGTATCTGGACCATCGCCTAACTGATCTCTGAAAAAATCAACAGTCCACAGGTGAATCTTTAGTATTTTTTTAAGTGTCATGAGTGCGATCCCATCGGTTTGATGGACCAGAATGTGTTTCGTCTGAGATATTTGCTTCTGATCCAGACTATCCAAAGTGAGCACTGTCTGAAGAACAATAACCAAATTAGTTTGAGAACATTAATGTCATTCCACTGCAAAATGTCTCTGATACCCAATCCACCCTCATTTTTCAGAGTTGTGACAGTATTCTATGCCACCTTTACACCTTTTGAGGAGGTCGAATTTCCTTTTCATAGAAAAGCAGAGCCCCGTCTAACTATAGACTTTGGCAAGATGAAAACATTCAACCAGTATGTCTACTTGCAAGTTGTAACACGTAATAACTATACATACAATATATATAATTTTATACAAATATATATATATATATATATATATATGAATTATACGTGTGTGCATATATCGATATCCACATACAAGCAATGAACAAGCATTGCGTATATACACACTTATATTTTCGAATAGATCAATACTCTCTAATTCTATATTATTTATTTTAATTAGAAAAATATCTTTATTATAAAACTTAAAATATAATTTGGTTGGACGTATATTTCAAGATATTTTTTTAATAACCTCTCATACAAACCTTTCTATTTTTTGTTTACTCTCATACAACACTTTTTATATTTGACCATATAACAATTAAGATAACTTATTAATTAACTAAGATAAATTAAATGGGTTAATTGGGGGTATATAACTTTTGTGGGTTAAATCCAATCTATTAAACAATTATTGTTGGATTGACCCAACTCAACCCACTATTTTATCCAACCGATTTGGATTGGGTTTAAATTTGCTGAGCAACCCAAATTGACATCACTAGGTATAGTTGCATAGCAATAGTCTTTGTTATCAATCAATGAAACCATACTTTTAGCTTCTCATCAAATTCGATTATTGGTATAATAAAAAAGAAAAATCACATATAAATATCTAAACTTTTTTATAAAAATCTTAGATAAATATCTAAACTATAAAACTTCAATATAAGTATTTAAACTTTTTAAAAATTATAGATAAATATCGATACTTTTGAAAATTTTCCAAATAAAATCAAAGTTCAGATATTTTCCAAATAAAAATAGTCAATACCATTAATGGATTTTGGGTTTATTTAGAAATTTTTTAAAAATTTAGGTATTTCTCTAGGATTTTTAAAAGGTTTAAGTATTTATATAGAAGATTTATAGTTTAAATATTTATTTGGAATTTTAATAAAAAAATTTGGATATTTAAATACTATTTTTCCTAATAAAAATAATTTTTGGCGAAACCCTAGTATAGGGTTATACAAAATCCGAACCAATTCAAATATTTGGGTTGGCAAAAAAGAGTTGGAATTATTTTACCAAGCAGGAATCCCCTTATTACAAAATCCGAACCTTCTTTTCTTGTTTTTGCTGTGGTCTCCCCGTCTTAGGGATGACCATTTCGGTTTCGATTTGATTGTATTTAGATTCTACAACAACAACAACAACAACATGGTCTTATTCCCAAGTTTATTTGGGGTCGGCCGCATGAATCCTTCGTTTCCACTCATTTCGATCACTTGTTAATTCTTTCGAAATCTGCAATACTTCCAAATCGTTTCTAATCACACGCTCCCAAGTAAGTCTAGGTCTCCATCTTCCTATCTTTTTCATCTCTATTTCTATACTCTCTATTTTTCTAACCGGCGCGTCTAACGGTCTCCGTTGTACATGTCCAAACCATCTTAAACGTCCCTTCCGTACCTTCTCTTCGATGCCTATTACTCCTATTTTCTTTCTAATACTCTCATTTCTAATTCTATCTATCCTTGTGTGTCCACACATCCATCTCAACATCCTCATCTCGGCCACCCTCATTTTTGACATATGTTGCCCTTTCGCCGCCCAACATTCGCTGCCATACAACAATGCGGGTCTTATGGCGGTACGGTAGAATTTTCCTTTCAACCGTAAAGGAACCTTACGGTCACAAAGAACTCCTGTGGCTTGTCTCCATTTCATCCATCCCGCTTTTATTCTATGGCTAACATCCTCATCGCAACCTCCATCCTTTTGAAGGATTGACCCAAGATATTTAAAATGCGGGTTTTGAGGGATTGATCCTCCTTGTAGGGTCACTCCCACATCACTAGGCCGTTTGCCACTGAAGTCACAATGCATGTACTCAGTCTTCATCCTACTAATCCTAAAACCCTTAGTCTCTAGCGTACTCCTCCATAACTCTAGCAGTCCATTTACTCCTTCTCTGGACTCGTCTATTAGCACGATGTCATCCGCAAACATCATGCACCACGGTACCTCTTTCTGTATATCTCTAGTCAGTTCATCCATGACTAACGCAAAGAGGTATGGACTTAGAGCGGACCCTTGGTGTAACCCTATCGAGATGGAAAAATCTCGCGTGTCACCCCCTGTTGTTCGGACACGAGTAGTCGCGCCATCATACATGTCCTTCAATACTTGTATGTATCTTACCGATATCCCCCTACGCTCTAAGACCCACCATAAAACCTCTCTTGGTACTCGATCGTAAGCTTTTTTGAGATCGATAAATACCATGTGCAGGTCTTTCTTCATATCTCGAAACTTCTCCATCAAGTTCCGGATGAGAAAGATTGCTTCCATTGTAGATCTTCCGGGCATAAAACCAAATTGGTTTACAGAAATAGATGAGTCGCTACGTAAACGTCGCTCTACGATTCTTTTCCACAACTTCATCGTATGACTCATGAGTTTTATGCCTCTATAGTTTGTGCAACTCTGGATATCTCCCTTATTTTTAAAAATAGGGACTAAAGTGTTTTGCCTCCATTCGTTTGGCATCTTCTTCGACACTAGGATTTTATTAAACAACCTAGTAAGCCAAATTACTCCGTCTTCTCCTAAGCACTTCCACACTTCAATAGGTATATCATCGGGGCCACATGCTTTACCTATTTTCTTCTTTCTTAACGAGTCTCTCACCTCTTACCTATTTGGATTCTGATACAAAAAATTATAATCATTCAGTTTTTATATAAATTTTCATTCATTTTAGTTTTATTTTGGTTAAGTTCAGTTTAGATTGGGTTTTTTATTGGTAAAAAAATCTAATTTTTCAAATAAATTTTTTATTTTTCGGTTATTTTTTATTTTTTTTTCGTTTGATTCAGATTCAAGATTTTTAGATTTTGAGAAATCATAAAGTTCGGATTTTATGTTAGATTACGGTTATTTATTCGATCCAGTTTAATTATTCGATTAATAACCAAAATAATGATTCATATTCCCTCGCCTAAACCGTCTTTATTTCTTTTTATTCCTTCATCTTTTGATTCATGTATTCGATTTGTAGATATATGAATATTTGAAATATTTTGTTTCGTATCTAAGCTTGAATATCCAATATATTCGGATTTCATGTCAAGTTCGATACCATTCGAATTGAGAATTGAAAACCCCTTAACCTAAAAAAAATATATAACAATTTAATTTAAATTTCATATTTTATGCTTTAGCATTTCTTTTTTGCCAAGGAAAGGGTTTCCTTCTTTTTCTTATTCCTCTTTTTTCCCTCGCCACCTTTGGTGGGTCTCCGCTTGATTCCATTTCTTAGCATAGAAGGAAACTATAACGAATTCTAATTTGATGTGTTTTGTGTTTTTTAGGCCCAAATTTTCCCACTTTTATCTTTCAACTTAACCAAAGACACTTTCGTTTTGGTCTCTTTTCTCTTCTTTTTATATAACCCTTTTGCAAACAATTTAAATTACAATCAAATATTCATATATAGAAAAAAAGAAAGGATCGCAAGATTAAATTCATGAAAATTCGAAAAATCGATTTTAAGAGATTGAATGGAAGAGGCTTTGGGGTTTTAAAATCCAAATAAAAAAATTATAAATTTTTTTGAAGAATTAATTGTTTTTCTAGAAATTTGGAAAATTATTCTAGTGAAGAATTAATTAAAAACGATTTTTAGGTTTACAAATATTACAAAAATAAAAAGATAAAAACCAAGAAACAAAACCAAAAACCAAAAATTTAAAATAAAAATCACTTCCCATTCAACCTTGAAAAGAAAACATCACATTTTTTAATTTAAATATTTTACCGCTCGTAAGTAATAATACATGAATTTACGTTTATACCCTTGCGAGTTACGACTCTTGTCTTCTCCTCCATCTATTTATTATCCAACTTCATTCACAACGCTTCCACGTGACAAACAAAAATTACAGTGGGGAAAAAAACACAGAGCAAGCAATTTGATCAGCCATGGCGGTTTCTCTTTACTCGTTGATCCTCATCTTCTTCTGTCTTTCTCTTGCTTTTAACCCTTCAAGTAAGATTAATTTTCGAAACCCTTTTTACGCAATTCATTAATTGTTTTATATATTTTTTAAAATTAATTAGATTAATTAATGAAACAGATTCTCAACCATTCATCGGAGTGAACTACGGCGAAGTCGCCGACAATCTCCCGCCGCCGCCGGAGACGGCGAAGCTTCTCCAATCGACGACGATCCAGAAACTCCGGCTGTACGGATCCGACCCGGGAATCATCAAGGCCTTGGCCAATACCGGAATCGAAATCATAATCGGTACATCGAACAACGACGTACCCGGTTTAGCATCAGACCCGGTTTACGCTCGGAATTGGGTCCAAATCAACGTCGTACCGTATTTTCCGGCGAGCAAAATCTCGCTCGTCACCGTCGGCAACGAGGTCACGACGTTCGGCGACAGCAATCTCATGGCCCAGCTCGCGCCGGCAATGCGAAATGTCCAAAACGCCCTCGATGCTGCGGGGCTCGGCGGCGGGAAAATTAGAGTCTCGACGGTTCATACCATGGCGGTTCTAGGAGCGTCGGAGCCACCGTCGGCGGGAAAATTCAATCCCGGTTTAGGGGATGTGTTGAAGGGAGTGCTGGAATTCAATAACCAAACCGGTTCACCGTTCGCGGTTAACCCGTACCCGTATTTCGCGTACCGGGCCGACCCTAGACCGGAAACGTTGTCGTTTTGTTTGTTTCAGCCAAACTCCGGGCGCTTTGATTCAAACACAAAGATCAAGTACATGAACATGTTCGATGCGCAGGTGAAATACACAAACTTATATTACTTCTATATATATGCATGTTATATACATATAAATATCTATATATATATCGATTAGATTTTTTTTAAAAAAAATATTAATATCGATAACGTAATCCATAGAATATAAGCACTAATTAATTATGATCTTTGTTGCAGTCTATAAGATCATCAATCTAATAATTAGGAGATAGAGCCAATAGGCATGTCATGATGAACACATGCTAACCTAATATATATCTACTAATCGTAAAAAAATTTCATTTTGCTAAATCTTGGTCTATTTATTTAATCACTAACGTTTTCCCGTGACATAGATATCATAATTTGAGGATTAAAATTTAATAATTTATCCCTAATTAGGGGTAATCTTATATAAATACCTGAACTTTTATAAAATTCCCAAATAAATACTTGAACTATAAAACATCTAAATCATTACCTGAACTTTTCAAAATTAATTTCTATATAAATACACAAACTTTTACAAACCTTCCAAATACAACAATTTCCGTTGACGACGTTAATTGGTAGAGTCATCGGATTCCGTTATAAATTAAATGACGTTAATGGATTTTTGTTGTATTTGTAAGTTTTTTAAAAGTTTGGGTATTTATATAGAAATTTTGAAAAGTTCAGACATTGATTTAAGAATTTTATAGTTCAGGTATTTATTGGGGAATTTTATAAAAGTTCAGGTATTTATATGCGATTACCCCTAATTAGAATGAAACGAAAAAAAAACCGTATTTTTACTTATATATAAAGAGAAATCACATATTAATAAAAAATTTCTAAACAAATTGCACATAACTTCACGAATTTTAATTTTTCAAATAAATAAATAAATGAACTCTTGATAACTCTCTAAACCTTTTAAGATAATGAAATTAAATCATAAAATTTTAAATAATTCTCAAAAACTTCTATAAAATTAAATTCTAAATTTTTAAGCGACTTCCAAAAACCACCATGATATATGGTGGTTTTTTTAAACTGTTTAAAATTTTAGGTTTTATAATGTAGAAGTTAAGAAGAGTTTGTGTATTTTGTTTTTTGAAATTTTAAAGTCTCTATTTTTATTTGGGAATTTTTTTCATAATTTCGTGTATTAATATACGATTTTCGCCATATATATATATATATATATAAAGGTTTTTTGGTGAGTGAAGGTTGATGCAGTAAGATCAGCATTAGACGGAATGGGATTCAAGAACGTGGAGATAGTAGTTGCGGAGACAGGGTGGCCGTACAAAGGCGACCCGAACGAAGTGGGGGCGACCGTAGAGAACGCAAAGGCGTACAATGAAAACCTCGTAAGTCACTTGAGATCGATGGTCGGGACGCCATTGATGCCGGGCAAATCCGTCGACACGTACTTGTTCGCGTTGTACGACGAGGATCTGAAGCCTGGTCCCATGTCCGAACGAGCTTTCGGTCTCTTCAGGCCGGATCTAACCATGACTTATGACGTGGGGCTTTCCAAGAGTAGTAGTAGTGGTGGTAATAACCAGGTAAGCTATCGTTTTGATTCAAATGGCAACTCTTTAAATATATGAAAAATCTTCGTGAATTGATAAATATGTTACCCTTTATCTGAAAAGTTGATGGTTCGATTCCTTACCCACTCGCATGTCGTCCGTCAATTACTAATGATTTAGTATCTTCCACGTGTCTGTCACAGACTCATGCACGTGGATGAAATTTACCCAACTAATACATTCGAAAGATAGCAGTTGGGTTCCCACGACAACAAAAAAAAAACTCTTTAAATACATCATTTTGCATGTTTTTGTGTAAGAATTAATAAAAGAACCCTTTCACAGGCACAAAATTGGAAGAATATTTAGAAGATGACTTATATTTAGAACTCTTTTTATTTAATAATATTTTATTTTGATGATATAAATGACGGAACATATATGGTATCTATAGTCTTTATGGTTATAACTATTCATATAAAAATGTTACCGCAAAACATTTTAATTTTTTTTCGTCATAATATCCAATTTTTTAATATAAATATCTATATTTTTCTAATTAATAGATTAAAAAAAATTGGATCATAAATTAATTTTGGGTTTGGTCCAATTTATTGAATCAATGTCCAATATTATTTTGATCCAAAATGCTAAAATTCGATCTAAATTTAAATTTAAGGATCTATATATACCAGTCATTTCTTTTTACATTTTGCTACTCTTTTTCTTCTTCTTCTAATTTTCATCTTTTATCAAGTTTTTTTTATATAAAATGTGAAAATGGTATTTGATCTATTAAGGCACCTGCAACACCAAAGACTCCGGCAACATCTCCAAGGTCTCCGGCCACAACTCCGGCACCGAATAAGAATACCAACTGGTGTGTTCCAAAAGCTGGGGTTTCGGACAGTCAGTTACAAGCCAACATAGATTACGTGTGCGGCACTCAAGCTTTAGACTGCAGCGCCATCCAGCCCGGCGGGTCGTGTTTCGAGCCCAACACGGTGGCCTCGCATGCCACTTACGCCATGAACCTTCTGTTCCACGCGGCGGGTTCCAACCCCTGGAACTGCGACTTCTCCCAGACAGCTACTCTCACTTCTAATAACCCCAGTAAGACTTCTTTCTCCCGACGATATATTTAATTACTGAAATTAGGAACTTGAACTTGTACTAAAATACTTAAAAGAAAAAAGTAAATTTTAGAATATATAGTGAAAAAACTAGGGGTATATATATGCTTCGGGATTCGGTTATATAAAATTTCTACTTAGGTTATTATGATATATCGATTCGGTTTGCTTTCAATTTCGAGTTCGGTTCAGTTAAAAAGGGTGTATTAAAAAAACATTTTTTTGGGTTTTTATTATTTGGTTTCGGTTGATTTGATATGCTAAAAATATAACTGTTCGATATATTTCGTGATGGTTCGGTTCAAGAATGATGATTTTTTTTTCAGTTCGGTCTTGTTCGGTTACTAAGAACCGAACCAAAACGTTCATCTATAGAAAAAATCAACTCTTTTCGAAGGTAGTTTATTCGATTTAACAAAGGATTTGAATGAAGATGTTTTTTATTTTGAGTTTTTGGTTTCAGTTTTTAGATTGTAGTTTTTAGTTTTTGGTTTTTGGATTTTATAATATTTATAAATCCAAAAATATAGTTTTTGGTTTTTCATTGATTTTTTCACCTTTTAAAAAAAGTAATATTATAAAATTTTAAATTGGTAATTTTTTTTAGATTTTAAAAAATTCAACCATTCAATAGCAAAATAATGAATTTGTCGTTTGATTTCAGGTTACAATGGTTGTACTTATGCAAGTGGAAGCACCTGAACACACTGTAACATCACAAGAGAGCAACTCTGAGATTTAGGGTTTGTGTAATTGATGAATCTAAGAACAAGAAAGTGTGAATGAGTTGCAATATATGTGTATGCGTGTGACTACGTTGTATATCTCCTATATAGTTTTAAGTAGTGGTGTGCGTTTTGTGAACTATACTGAACCAAAAAATACGGTATTTTTTCTGGTCTGAACCGTATAAAATTTTCGAACGACATTAATTTTAGAAAAACCGAATTTTTTCGAAACCGAACCGAATCCGACTGAAATTTTAAGAAAAAATCCGAAAACCAGATTTTTTAAGAAGATCTATTTTTTTAATACAAAATGGTACCAAAACCAAAAGCGAATATAATATAATAAGCGATTGATATCTATTTTTGTAAAACGGAAAAAACCAGAACCTAATCATTGTCGATCTGATCTCGGGCCGAATAATGAAACTTTCATCCCTAGTTTTTAAGTATTTCATTGATGTGATAATAGTTCCAAAAGCATATATATATATTTTTTAATTACAGACACTTTTTTCGAAATTTGACGTAAAAATTTATTAAATTAGGAACAAAATAAACATTTTTTATTTTCAAAACATTGGAGAGAATTGAAATTTGAGATTTTTTTTTCATCTTCTGCAATTGTCATATATAACACACGCAGACACATTTGAGAGATCGTGGTCTTCTCTGGCTTCATCTTTTCCAAAAAGCTTCCAAATTTTAATTTTGCTGATATATGTTTGGAACAAAAAAAAAAAACTTTATTGTAACCCATATAAAAAAATATGTAAATTTGTAGAAAATATGTGAAAAAGAATACTCAGGAAAGATGACAAATGGTTTGACTAAAGGAAGTTTTTGACTTTACAATTAGGAACTCGTGGATTTTTTTAGATTCTAAGTCTATATATTTATATATATACCTATTGTCTAGGTCACAGGATCGGTTTGATTGGTGATAGGTGACTTGGTCATAGTTCACAGGACAATAGGTCACATGGTACCAGGGCAATAGGTCACATGAGAATTGGTCACGTGGTACCAAGACAATAGGTCACAGGAGAATAGGTCACATGGTACTATGTCACATAGTCACCGATTCACAGGACAATAGGTCACATGGTACTATGTCACATGATCACAGGTTCACAGGACAATAGGTCACATGGTATCAGGACAATTGGTCACAGGTCACAGGAGAATAGGTCACATGGTACTATTTCACATTGTCACAGGTCACATGATCTGATGTATTTTATTGTTGTGCAGTTGTCGTTTATGTACAAAATGGAAGACATTCAGTTCTCTACTAAGATAAATACCAAGTGTTACCCGTCGGAGACAATAAAAAAACTGAAAGACTTGTTAAGCCCTGAAGAATGGAGGTATTTCAGTCATGAGTCGCAGTTTCAGCATTTGTTTCACATGCAATTTGATGGCACGCTGAAGATGGCTCCAGCAGCATTCCTGATAAACCATTGTGTCAATGTGGAGGATGAAAAGGAATTATGGTTTGTTCTAAATGGTGTGTCCATTAGATACTCCATCGTTGAACACACTCTCATATCCGGATTGAAATGCGGTGAGTATCCGGCTGGATGGGAATATATGAGGAAAAGCCAGTTTAGAGTGAAGACTTTTGGAAATCGAAAGGTATCTAAGGAGAGTGTGATAAGACATCTCGAGAAGACGCAAACTCAAAGGGCTGCTGATAGGAAGAAACTGGCTGTTATCATGTTGCTCGGTGGAATACTGGATCATGGCACCACAGATGAGTTTATAAACCATGATTTGGTGGATATGGTGGATGATTTGGCTTTCTGTGAGAGATTTCCATGGAGACGCTACACATTTGATAGAATGATTGATCAAGAAAGAGTTTCGGAAGTGGAGGGCCGAAGAAGAAATGGCACTGTCGTGGGTTTATAATCCCTCTTATGGTAAGGGTTTTTCACTACGTGTATAAATGAAAAGTACCGTTATTACATTGATTTGTTTTGGAATTTAATATTTACACAATATGGTACAGTTGCTT